GAAACGAGAGAAATATCGAGTTTGAAGCGGCATAGGGGCATTCCGCACAAAAACGGCGATTGGAGGTAAAATACTCAACCAAAATTGATGTATAATATATGGTTGGTTTCGTTTTTCAATTATCTTTCTGTTGGTATAAGTCTCGTGGGCTATGGTGGCTTGTACGTCGAGCGGTTTAGGCTAGAAGCTGCTGTGGCGGCGGCTCGACGAGATTCAGGTACAAAAACTCAAAATACGAGTTTAATATTGAACTGTAGGGGCTGTAAATTTGGATAAGAGTTGGGATTATTATTATGTATAAGATTTTGTAAAAAGTTTGGTGAAAAATGATCGGAAAAATATCTCAAACGAAGATCGTTTACGATAGCCGCACCAAGGGTGCGACCGGGTTGGGTCGGGCGTCGAGTTGAGTCAGCCGACACTAGACCAGGTTTAGGCCATGGCCGACTTATTTCGGTCGAGTTCGGTTAGACTCGAGTGGTTTTGTTAAAATTGGTATTTGTTAAAAATAGATTTGGGGCTCGTTTATTTACTTGGATTCATCGAAATAAATCGGGATGTTTCGATTAAGTTGGTCAAAATTTGGACATCAATTGTAAAGGTTATTAATTAATTGGATTTTCATATTAAATTATAAGAAATAATTTAGTAACTTATTTCGGGAGTTGTGACTAGATAATTGTGGGATCGGACGTTTTTATAAAAACGTATATAATTAAATGTTGGGTTTAATACGTCGTTATTTATTTTTGATATGAAAAATTCCATTGGGGAGGGGGGTATATGGCGACGAGGTATGCTTGGGGTTGACCCGTTGACCATGCCCACCATAAGGTTTACCCATTTGATTTTTCGGGTTGACTTTTTGGGGAAAAGTCAATACTCTAATTATTGAAATATAATTACATGTTATAGGATATTACTCAGGGACAAGGTTTAGCTAAGCGGAGCTATTCAGGTGAGTTTTCATGAGACTTTAACTGAGATGCATGCTTATGTACAAATTATTTGAGCATTACGATATTTTCTATGTACATGTTTATGGGTTTATTACATGTATATGAATTATTATTGTGTGTTGCATGCTATTTGTTTACGTGTTTTTAAACATTAATTAGCATGTTATAAACGGGTTAATATTTTGTCGGGTATGGGAAGGGGTCAAAAGTCATAAAGGATGACACATCCTAGGGATGGGTGACCAGATAAGGGATAATCGTGTAACCCGAGGAAGTGCCGATGACAGTAAGACCTTAACCCGACGGGAAATTAAGAGATCTCATTATTATTTAAAAAGGGTTGAAACAAATGTGCAGATTATTTTATTTGGGGCATTGTTTGTTTTATGCATGATGARRTKTGTATGATTGTGCACAAAAACCATGAACTCACCGAGCTTTATAAAGCTGACTATTAGTATGCATCTCAGGTGCAAGAGGTTCAAGGGTGGACAAGAGCGAGGTTCTCTCATAGATAATTATATTATTATATTTCGGATGTTTAGGTTTATGTTTAACCTCATTTTGTAATGTAACCCGGTATGGGACGGGTTAGCATTGAGCTATAAATTTTAATTGAATTTGTAAGACTTCCGCTGTAATAAGGCTTTATTAGCCACTATATTTTGGGGTTATTTATCGTTATTTAATGAGAATGACGTGACACAACTCATGATGAAAATGAGAGTGTTACAGATAATTTGATATAATATTGGTATATATTTTTTTAAAATTTTATAATATCTTCAAATTTATATTTCATTTAAAATAAAAATTATGACATTTAATTCCAACAGATTTTTTTATTAAAAGAGAGAATAAAAAATGAAATATCTAAAAACTATGACATTTAATTCCAACAGATTTTTATTTTAGAGATTTCAATATTTATTATATTATTAAAATATTATATAAATTTATTATGTCAACAAATTAAAAAGAATTAATATAATAATAATTCAATATCATTAATGGGAAAGTATAAAAAATTAATTTCTTTACCCGTACATCATATTTTAGGAAATTCTCTAAAATTGAAACTTTTTCTAGTTTTTTTTATTTTAAAGAACAATATAAAGGATCAGTTGAAGATGCTCTGTAAACGCTCACCATCAAATCATTTTTCACAAAAATATTAATTATTAATTTGAAAACAAGACATTAAAATTGATATTTATGGTTTTAAAAATCTTTAAATTAAATAAAACCAAAATATTATATACCATAAAAATATGAAATAAATGTAGTTAATTTAAATTGCAAATTTGAAAAAATAAAACATCAAAACAGAGTATATAATGTGTTTTACTTAAGTTATGATTCATATTGTTTCATATATTTTATTATTGTGTATGTTTTTATGTGAAATGTATATTGATATTTTTTTTTTTCACAAAAAAAGTAGTCATAAAAGTTTCATGTATGAAACAACATCATATTAACATTGCATATTTCACATGTGTTGTTTTATATATGAAAACTAGTTTGTAGATTCGTTACATATATTAATATATATGTATATATATATATATATATACACACACATATGTATGTCATATTCTATAAATATTCAAATCATAATAAATGAACTATCATCATTTTTATAAATATGTCAATTGATTGGGTTGCATTGGTTGTATAAATGTGATGAGTTGTATTTAAAACATCCTCTCTCTTCTCTCTCTCTATATATATATATATATATATATAGAGAGAGAGAGAGAGAGAGAGGGAGGGAGGGAGAGAGGGAAGATCAAATATTAACCATCATTTTTGTGTTAACTTTGAAAACTCTCTCAACCAATCAAATTCAATTATTTTTATAGGTTTATGTCTTGTTCATTTTACCCTTACAAGAGTATTCTAGTAAATTGAATTCATTTGTAACCCCCAAACAATTAATGGGGAGTTACAAACAATCAAATCCCAATAGTTACAAACAATCAAATCCCAAAAAATATGCATTCATATTATTAATTTTTTTTTTACTATTGATCTTCCATGTTCATTCTTGTATGAATTTCTAAATCGCATAAGAAACACGGTAGTAACGATTTTCGGTATTGATCAATTTGAACACAAATGAACCGTAAACACAATTTGAACACAAATGAACCGTAAACACAATTTGAACACAAATGAACCGTAAACACAATTTGAATAAATTAACAGATGAACACAAATTA